AAGGTGCAGTGATGGAGGAAAGATGAGGGGGAGGAAGATGAGGTGATTTGCTTTTTTATGACACAACAGATTTGGTGACAAATGGATGCATATCAAATAGGGAGGGGAGGACGGGGAGCAGGGGGTGACGAAGAAGAGGGGGGGAGAAAGTAGGAGGGAGGAAATGAGAAGATGTGCACAATGAGGAGGAAAGAGTGGGAGGAGGAGAGAGGTGGCGGTAAGGAGGGGGAAATGGAGTGACAGTGGGACAGGAGGATGAGACATTTTCCCGTCTGTGTCATTTTCTTCACTCTGCTGAGTAACAGTCAGATCATAATCACCCCCCCATCCCCCCACGCCCCCTTCTCATTCCACTTTTCCTGTTTAACACTTTTATCGCTCTGCAGTGTCTCGTAATGGTCACACAGTGCAGCTGTCCCCCTGTCCGGAGAGATAATATCTCCAATGATATCTCTTTGAGCTTTCATTATCAAACAGACCAAACTCTTTCCCAAACTCAGTCTCCTCTGGCTCGCTGCACTGTCCCTTTCATCACCCTCAACTTTCTGCTGCCAATCTGTTCCCTAAGTGTTTGAGTGTGAGTGTCTTATTTTATCACTTCAGCTCTATGTCTGTCTGAATGTGTCTGTGGATGTGTGAATGCATTGGCTCATGCTCCATTGCTTCTATGCTATAAATGGCCAATCCCTGTCTCTCTTTGCATTTTTGATTTTAATGTATTACGTGTTTTTTGGGACCTCTCCTGCATTACCTTGATGCAGTATTGTAGATGTGCACTTCAGGCTACGGGTGAATTTTTTACAGTCTCTTAGCGTATAGGTGAAACACACTTGAAAGCCAAATCTATGCCAAGTTCTAGTTTATGATGTCAGACATTGCTGCTCCCTAAAAGTGAACCCAAATCCTCTCAATCATCTCCTGGTGGCTGGCTGCAGCATTGGTCATTGGTCAGCATTGGTCTCCTCCATGTAAGTGGATGGGACAACCTAAAAAGTCAAAATTTTCCCGTTAAGTTTGGTTTTAATTAGTTTGAAATATTATGATTGGCATCCAAGACTGACTAGCGATTGGTAGAGCATGTATATTGGGCGGGCGGGACCTTGCTATTATGGTTCCATCCCCTGATCGCTACTGTGCAGACTGTGGCACAGGATGGCAGCGTTTGTATCCCGTATATTTTGGCTTCATTTCTGGATAGTGGGAGAAAGTGGAGAAGCATTGTCCATCCTTATATATACAGTATGAGCTGAGATCACAGTGACAGAGAGACTGCTGGCTCTGCTGCTGAAGCTCACAATAGCTGACTGAGTCATAGCCATGAATTGTTGATGTCTTGATTCAGAGCTTTTAAAGGTGATTATCTTACAACAATACAATCAGATTAACAACAGCTGGCTAAATGATGTCATTATATTGACGGAAAAACTGTTAATTAACAAACCTTTCACCTACAGCTTGTTAACACATTTTTAATTATGCAAATAAAGCTGAAGCTCTTGTGATTAGAAAAAAAAAATTCAGATCCATCAAAAAAAAAGATTATTACTCTTTTTGCCCTTTCAGAGTTCGTTCACTACTTTATATGAAGCGTAGATTTTTTTTTCCATTGCAATTAAACTTGATGCAGTGATGGATCTTATGTAGCTCTTCAGTCAATCCCTCAGCTAACTACTGCAGTTTAGAAACCCATGCTAGCAAGAGCAGTAGCATCAGTGCATGCTAACAAAGACGTGGGAGGAACAAACACACTTGGTCCCCAGAGGGATTCTGTTCTGGCATTAGACAGATTGACAGAAGGCTGCAAACCTCTTCTGTGTTTTTAGAAAGCGTATACACACACACACACACACACACACACACACACACACACACACACACACACACACACACACACACACACACACACACACACACACACACACACACACACACACACACACACACAGAGGCCTACACACTGTACACAGTACATGAATTCATAGTGATTATCATATCATCTATAATTACTAATAATAACAATAATAGTAAAACACTTAATTTATATCAGAGTATATCAAGTGCTTTACAAGATAAAATGATATTTAACAATAGTTTAAATGCCAAATGTAAAAAGAAAGAAAGGGAGAAAAGATAATAATATAAAATAATCAAATAAAATAGGGTTTACATGAATGCCAATATACAAAAGTAATTATTATAAAGTCGGTTTATTAAAAGACCACACGCCCAGCTAAAGCACGATTTAAAAGAAGATCAGGAGCCAGTCGGTCTGAGCTTCTCAGGGAGTGTGTTCGACAGAGTGGGTGCGCTAGATGCTTTACATTCATGGTGAAATTTAGTATTTGTTTATCTCTAATATAGTTCTATCTTGCCACTGCAGCCTCGCCAATTTCGTGACGGATAAAAAAAAAAAACCAGCTGTGTCCACAGGTGGATGCACAGAACAGTATATACCAAGAGCGACGAGCTGGGTGTGAACATCCCTCTGCTCTTGTGCTCTTAACAGCGGAACTGAAATGAATGTCTCTGTCAGCAGCATCAAAGCCTGTCGCTGCAGATCCCAGAGGACCCGGCTCGCCAGCTTGAAGCTCCACCTGTACGACGCTGAGGCTTTCATCAGCTGCACATATCACAAAACTGCCATTTCTGCTAACATAGCTGCCTCTTGCAACTTTTCCCAGCGCCACCTCTCCACCGCTTTCCCCCAAGAGTCATAGCTGTTGAAAGCCTGGGCGATTTCACACTTTCATTCCAAGTTTGACCCATGCAGAGGATGCTGGGATCATGGCAGTGGGGGCTGCACACATGCTCTGTGTTCTGTATGTCAGGAGAACTCAGTGACTTAATTACCAGGGGTGATGTACTGAAGCAGCTGAGGTTAGTTGTTTTGCAGCTGAGCCATGTAATGAGAATTTCCCATCAAAAGCTGAGAGTGGTGTGATGGAACAGATGGTCTGGTTTTGGATATTGCTCTTTATTGGCCTCCATATTAACTCAAATTTGAACTTACACACCAGCACAAAAGGGATTTTTGCTGACTGATCATCAAGGATGTGTGTTGTAATGACCTGGAGAAATCAATATGGTTGTTACCTGTAATGCAGAAACTAATTCTTTATCCTTCCTATCACATTTTCTTTCCTCCCATTGTGTTTGTGTGATTTATTGTGTATTTTAGGGGGTAATGTGTGTGTGTGGGTGTGAGTGTGTGTGTCCCAGCTGGAGTGAAGACTGTTTATATTATTGGTGATGGAAAAGGGGCCCCCAGGGGCCTCAGTAATGGACTGAAAGGCCTCTGACTTCTTATAATGGCTTCTGTATGTGAGTGTGTGTGTGTGTGTGTTTGTGAGAGCAGCACAATGGTACTATGTAATTGTCAATAGGAGGACACACTTTTACATAATAAACTGAAAGAAACACACACACACACACACACACACACACAAACACCAGACCAACACAAAGAGCGAGAGATGGAGCCTATCAAACACAAAGAAACACAATATGTGTCTCACACTCGAACATTGTGGTGCCAGCTGAGCCCATGTGTGTCCAATAACAGCAGGTGCTGTCAAGTGCATGCCCAGCCGACCTGCCATGAAACACACACACACACGCACGCATACACATACACATGCACATATGTCATCACACTTCACACACTTTCTTCCAGCTTCCTCTTTTAAAACTTTATGTTGCATAAGTGTTGTAGAGTTACATACAAGGTTACAGGTAATGTGTGTGTTTCCTGTGTTTGACAGTGTGTGTCCTTATGTGTGTGTCTGTGAGTGTGTCTACCTTTTATCTGTGTCTGGCTGCGAAGGGCTGTAGTGTTGCCATATGGTCTCACATTAGGACACTCAGAACTTAGCCGCCAGGTACTGTGTCTGTGTTTGTGTGTGTGTGCATGCGTGTGTATGCACGTGTGTGTATGTGTGTGTGTATGCGTGTGTGTGTGTTTGTAGAGGGAGAAAGTGAAGCAGTTAGACCAACAGGAAATGAAGTAAATTATTTGAGCTGTTGATCTTTAAACACTTCTACTTGTGAACAGTAAATATCTCTAAATATAAATGTCTTTTTCCTCCGTCCTTCCTTAATATACCAATAACGCATATTTGGAGCACTGAATCGGACATCTATCACCATAGCAACGATGGAGGCTTGGAAGCATTTGGGTCAGCCCTGGTGTTAATATATTTAGCAGTGCCATATCATATGCTGCGCTGACTTCATTAACCATCTCAGCATGAAGCACCAGAGCCTGAATGATAATGATCTCACACACACACACACACACACACATACACACACACACACACACAGACAGAGCACTGGGATCTTGACACAAATGCATAGATAACTGATTACATTTTACTTCATTATGATTAAAGGGCTAATTGTAAATAAATCATCTTTAACTTCACATACTCTTTACTAAATCTGCTGCTATAGATTATACTTATTATGGTATGTGAATTCTAATTAACCATTAGGTTTCTGAAGTTCCAAAAAAGGTTTAAAATAAGAAATGTACTGTATATATTTTATTGTGAATAGGGTTGTCTTCAACTGGTGAAATTTGTATATTCTCATGTTTTCATTATTAATATCAATAACAATAATAATAATAATATTCATAATATAACTTTGTTTGTGCAGAACCTTGTAAAGTAGCCCTTACAAGGTGAAAGTGAAAATAAGGATACAAAACATCAGAGGCAACATATAGACTTTAAAATTCACGACAGCAAATTATATAATACAAAATCAACAAACAACATTATATGATATTACATAATATTTATATTTTTTGTGTGTATAGTATGTATTGTAAAGCCCAAGGTGATTTTCATATTGCTTGTTTTGTTCACCCAAACCTTTCTTATTTCTATAAGAACTGTCACAATTGTCAAAAGAAACATGATTTCTTGACACTTATGTCATCTCCTCCTTTCCTCCACCTATACTCCTTCCTCCTCCTCCACCTCTTCTCCTCTCAGGTCAGCGTGTTGGAGCGTCAGGTGATAGACTTCCTGGGCTACCAGTGGGCTCCCATCCTGACCAACTTCCTGCACATCATTGTTGTCATCCTGGGCCTGTTCGGCACGATTCAGTTCAGGCCGAGATATGTCACTGGGGTGAGTTGAACACGGACACACTCTGCGCTCTCTCTACGGATGCAGCCATTCGACATATGTTGTGCTCTAGATTTAGCAACAGCCTCTTTCTCACTAGATTTAGGCTTTGTCTAACGTTTGTAAAAAACTAAATATCTCTGTTCAGACGAGATGCATGCCATGCCAGTAGGTGGTAGGTGTGATTACGCTGTGATCCAAGTAGTATTTTGGCAAGACAGATACCTGTGAATGTAACATGGTACTGTAATGCTGAATTTATCTGCAAACTTTTAATTAGACTTGTCCAGTGCTAACCAAGTGTAGAGAAACCAGTGTATACCCATCATTGTTGTTTGTGGTGCATGCTTATAACACAAAGCATAGTGTCATCGATTGTTAAATGGACACAGAAACTGGAATTTTTGAAAATCTACACTTTGGAGGGTCTTTATAATAAAAAACAATATTTCAGTGACATGAAATGCCTTTTGTAAAAAACTTGCAAAATATCTGCATTAGTGTGAATTTGTCATTTGTCATATCTTTAACTGTGATGTGTGTATGGAACAATGTTTTATACTGTGCAACAGCTAAACAACTGATCCTTTCCTCCATGTTGGAAACACTTCATTCATACCTAGAGCAAAGCTGTTCATACATAACAAGGAATGCGAGCCTGTCTTCATTAATTATTGATTTATTTCCTACTGGTGGGTCCAAGTTTTGAAAGAAGACAATGTCAATTTGAATATAAAAGAGCAGTGATACAGAGTGGGAGTAGGAATATTTTACCAAGTGGTGTTATGGGTTTCACTTTTCTCTTTCTGGGAGCTGTCGATGGAAATCATTTATCTTTCAGAAATCTTAGGTTCCTTTAGTGGCTGCAGGGCTCCATGCAGCCCAAAGACCCCTGCTGAAGACCCTCACATGCACACACGTGTGCATACAGTGAATATTAAGTGAGAAGCCTCAGATAATGAATGTTCTGTTGCTTATAATCGCTGTCTTGCCTCCTTCCTTCCATCATTCATTCATTCTTTCCTGCCTTTGTGACACCCATACACACTCAAAGCCCCGTGATCCATTTTCTCTCCCTGTCTGGTTTGATTCTTGTGATTGGTTGCTCTCCCCGCCGTTGTTTTTGTTTCTCTACATCTTAACAACATCAAAAGTGAAGCCTCCCTCTGTCTCTTCTCTCTGTCTCGCTCGCTCTGAATGCAAGACATGAACATGCTTTTATAATTCTCCAGCAAAGGCCTGTCAAACCTTGTCTGCCTCTCACTTTCTAACTCTCTCTCCCTGTGTCTCTCGGCAGTATGCAGCCTGGCTCGTAGCGTGGATGACCTGGAACGTTTTCATCATCTGTTTTTACCTGGAGGTTGGGGATCTGTCCAGAGTAAGAAAACATTTTCTTGCTATTTCTGCATCCTTGTCAACTTTTCTGCTGTACATGTCCAAAGTAAAAACAACCCCTGGCAGGGGTTTAGGTGTCGGATCTCTGAGGGGGTCATTTACACCTGCATTTCGAGTCTCCAAATCCAGGCTGGGAACAATCTATATTGTCTACTTGTCCACAAATCCCTTTATACAAAACAAACTGAGCAACAAATTGCAGCTAAAGCCTTATATAGGTTACTATCATCCCAATTATCGTCCAAAAACTATTAAAAACTCTCCAGTGAGCAAAACTGTTGCACTGAGTGACTTGTCCCTCATTTCTATGAAAAACGGAACTGCAGTGTATTTTGAGTCGATCCCACATTCACTGTCCTGCTGTCATTAATACTCATTAGCGGGTCTGATGTGTATTAATCTGCAGCAAAAAATAGTTACCCAAAAATGAACTCATGCATTCACTGCTGTTTGAGTAATATTTATTAAAAGCTACAGTGCCCAGGTGCTTCAGCCTTTTACATTAAATATTTTCCGTCTTCCGTAAAATGTTTTATTTTTCTCCTTCTAAAATGATTTATTGACAATTATAAAATGTCAAATGACACCAGCCAAATCATTAAAGGGATAGTTCACAGAAAAAGGAAAATGCACTCATTATCCACTCACCACTGTGCTGATGGAGGGGTGGGTGAAGTGTTTGAGTCCACAAAACACTTCTGAAGTCTCAAGGGTTTTAGCCCAGGTGACCTCTTCTTCAGACTGCTTCTCCATACTGCTCGTGTGGTGTCATCCAAGTGTCCGCAAACCCCGACATTTATATTCTACTTGAAACAGCGTCATTCACCCAATGTTTTTAGCCTAAATATCCTCGATGGACTCCTGGGAGGTGCATAACGGACCCTCGGGCACACCATCGTGTGGCTACATCGCCTCTTCCTGAAGTGGACATTTAGGCTTAAAACACAGTGTAAATGACCTTGTTTCAAGTTGAATATGAATGAATGGGCTTGCGGACACTTGGATGTCACCACACGAGCAGTATGGAGGCATGTTGTGTTTTTTCTGTTTTATTGCGTATGAAGAAGAGATCGCCTGGACTAAAACCCTGTTTACCCCTGATACTCCAGAAGTGTTTTGTGGACTCAAACACTTCACCCATCCCTCCATCCACATAGTGGTAAATACATAATGAGTGAACTTAGATTTTTCTGCGTCTGTGTAGGGTTTTCCATTCACAATGTTGACCTGTTCACACACTGGCAACTGGTTATCTTTTGAAATAGGGAAAAAATACAAAAATCCTACATTTTCACACACTTTTCTAGATTGGAAAGATAAAGGGAGTTATGAAAATCAATTAAAACCAAGCATCCATACACTAAGTTGTTTAAGCTGCGTTCAGACATGCACTGAAGTACAGACAGTTTCAGGATTGTCTATATGTGAGAACGCATATGTCTGTCTCAGTTGCTCTTATTATCGCGGCTGAGTCAGTAGCTTCTTCTCCCGCCACAGTCAATGTGCTTTAAAATGAAACACTTGGCCCTTAACTCTCCCTTCTCTGCTGTAGTGAATGTAGTGAATGCAACAGTGTTGATGAGCACAGATATGCCTTCAATAATGAACTGTTGAGCTGTTGTAACGCAGTAGAAAGCTGCTGGGGCATTACAAGGCAACGTTTCTGCATCATCCACAACAGCACTGTGTGTAATGAAATCATGCAGTCAGAGAGAGAGAGAGATCCTACTTTACACTCGGCTTAAGAATGAGCCTGAAGCTTCCGCCTCAAGCCTCAATGCAGTTATCCTGCACTTAACAGCAGCATCTCATTTGACTCCCTGCTCTGCTCTGCTGTCGTCTTTGATGTATTGAAAGCAACAGGGCTGATGTGCATGGAAATCTCTGGAGTGTGAAGAATCAAGATCTTCTGAGGCAGGTTGACTCTGAGCATTTGAAAACAAAGGCTTATGGTCATTGTGTGGTGGTTCTGATGTTTTTTCAGGGCAATTTGGCGTCTTTTTTAAAATATCACCCAATTGCATTTTTCATATTTTGGCTGTTCTCTGCCCTCACCTCACTCTCTGCGGCTCCTCCTGTCTTTCTCACTTGACTGAATATAACAAGGACAATAGGTTTTGCAAAATTTCAATAGACCTATTCCCTCAGCCTTGTTGCATTTTCTTTTGTCTTGCAAAAAAAACACATTGTTTGAAGACAGTGGATCCCACTGGCCAGTTTTAGAACAAACACACTAGATTCTATTAAACTGGACAGCCTGCCTAGAAATAGATAAGAAGAGGTACTAGCTGAATGGGTGTTGATCATATCGGAGCTGTCACACATATTCACTGAATAGATTATAGGTAGGTACCTCATCTCCTGACACTCTGGTAGCTAAATGAAACCGTTAACAATGGTACTGTAATATAAGAGTTAAATGGCGCTAATGCAGGAGGATGGTTTAAATTCTAATGTCACTTTTTCGAAACCAATTAATCTAATCAAGCTGCCATGTTATGTTATGCTACATTATGCTATGTTATGTTACGTTATGGTGTGTTCTGTTGGGTTGTGTTATTTTTTATCACGATATGTTAATCTGTTATGTTGTGTTATGTAATGTTATGCTATGCTGTGTTGTGCTATATCACATTGTGTTGTCTCTTCTTATGTTATGTTATGTAACTAGATTAATGAAAAACAGTCAATCATTCATTTCTTTATTTTGTAATCTGTTATTGGGAATCATGAGCATCCCAGTAACCATAGTAACTGATTCACACACCTGCCTGGGAGGGAGTGAAGGAGCGAGGGAGCGAGGCGCTGCTGACCACTCTGAGCTGCATGTACAGGAAGACATCACAATTTAACAGATTTGTTGATGTTTCTCACTTTCCCCCTGATGGTCTCAATAACTGGCGGCTGTAGTGCTGTGCTGCTCTGTGTTGTCTGTCCACGTGCTTTCAGCATCCTTTTTTTTACTGGGTGAGGAAACAGACGTGTTAACATCCCATCTCTGCAGCCAGAGTCTGTCGGATCAGCGAGCTAATGTTAGGTGGGCGGGCTGGCAGAGTTGACAGCTGTGGCATTGATGTGACTGTAAGGTTACATTTTTTTATTGTATTTAAAGTTTGGATGCAGTCAGTGCACCAAATATGTTCACTCAATATACACCAGCCTGTGTATTGATCCACTTGCTCCACTGCTAAGATGCAAATCACAAAACTATTTTTCTATTAAAAGTTGCAAGCTGTGTATTTCTCAACATGACAAGGATGATGATGGTGAAGGATTTGGTGTTGAAAGACGGTAAATATGTAATGGAAGTTTTAAAGGTCCACCGGCGAGAGACAGTGGTGCAGACGTCGCACACTCTACAAGAAGCAACAGAGCAAAACGTCTTAAAGATATTATTAAAGATATTATTAAGTCGGCTTGCACAGTCTAGAAAGTTAATAGGAAATCCAGTGCAACAGAAGAGTGAAGCTGCCCTCAGAGAAATCTAATACAATCTTCTCTTGTAAAATGTCCAATGTAAGTGTCATTACCCACTGACATCAAAGGGGCGGATCCAGGAATTTGATTTCATGTTGTTTAACATTGTGAATTTCTTTGGGAAAATGTAAGGATCTTTTGGCATCATTAGTTTGCTGATATCTATGAGTGTGTGTCTGTGGAGAGGCTTGATTGGCAGAGTGATGCCCTTTACTGACACATTGTAATTTTTGCAAGGTGTCGTCACCTACTCACTCAAACGACAATTGCAAGTGCGAGGTGTGTGTTTCTGTGATTCACAAACAGACCTCTCTATAGATAAGACTGAGGCACGATGTCCCTACTTTGACCGCGAGTGCTGAAATCTCTGAAATGACTTTTCTTCCTGTCTCTTCTGACAGTGAGGGTCACGTAATATCAGAGCAATTTTAGTGTGACTCCAGCGACTATAATCATGGGAGCAAGACCCTGTCAGGGGCGACTTCCACAGACCACTCGCTGACATGGTTACATAAGAGAGGAGTAAGGATGAGGTGTGCAGCTTGGAAAGAGGGATTCCTTTAAACATCTGCAACATCTGGTTGAAATCCGGTCATCTGAGCAGACGTTAAAAACGTCCTCAACACATCCACTTACAATCAATCCTGTGGAGGATCTGTGTGTTTTCTCAGATGGGTTAATTGGGTATTATCCGGAGGTTTCACAAGGGGACTGGGCGGAGAAAGTCCGGAGCAGGTCGGGAGTCTCACCTTTGTGGTCCAACCTGGAGAATGTCCGAAGATTATCCTGGGTCCAGTGTGTCACCATCTAATTTGCACTGAAATTTAAAAGCATGTCAGTTCTCTGCATTGGTGTCATACATTTATATAGGACATGAGACACAGAAGTTGAGGTTGAAGTCTCTGCAGAAGTGTGGCTGTTCCGAAGTCAAATTTGTCAATTACATCAACTTGGAAAATTAATCAGGGCCAATCAGTGCTATTATAAACAGAAGAAATCAGTTGATGGGGGAGCTGATTGTGGATGATTACAGTCTGTGGTGTAGTGTTTTCCCACCACAGTTTGCTGTTAATTACTCCTTCTATTGGACAGTTATGTAACATACCTTCCATCCATTTCATAAATCACATAAAATTGCAGTTTCGGCACCACACATCATCACTCTTCATCCCTCATCTCGTTGGTCTCACCAGCTTTTCAATCTTCATCAGTGCTGGTTTGGACTGAAGCGTAATTGGTGTGTAATTTCCAGCTAGATATTCTGTTTCCTCTGGTACAAGCTGTTGGCTCTTTGGATGCATGCACACACACTGACGGTGAGCCTTGTTAAAGTTTTGTTGCCGCACAAGCTATCGCCACAAGTTTTATAGTGAGTCAACAGTCATATTTCATACATAAAACTCCTCCGCCTTCTGTTTACCTATCTCCACCTTCCATGAACTCTCATTTGAATGATACATTTCCATCTTTCACTGCCCCTGAGGACCAGTGCGAACAGTTGCAGCA